CAAAGGACACGCATCCATTTGCCAGGTTGGAGGTGGGAAGGTCTGACTTTATTTCCTTAGCGGGTTAGAAGTAAAGAAGTAAAAGTTCCTTCTTGATAACCATGGTATGAAAAAACTAAGTTAATAAGGGAAGGAGTAATTCTTCCTAACCATTGCACAATAGAACTCTGTGCATGTCTCTGGAAGAGTAATAAAAAAGGGTGGGAAGAATATATATTACATATATAAGCAGAGAAGAACAGGCAAAATCTGAATCCTAAAACTGACTAGAAGGGGTTACAAAATTTACTAGACTGGGTTCTCTAATGTGAATTTGACTACATAAAGGGAATTGTCAAGGAAAATTAAAATTAATTACAAGCCAGTTTAAATTCATGTTTATCCATAAATTATTTTACTGCATCCCTCTAGCTCTGTGTCTTAACACCTTTTCAAAGTTTATTTTGAAACTTTAAACTTTGTTTTTTAAAACTAAATTTGGAATAATGAAATAAAGGATTTTCAAAAGGCATTTTTAGGGATTGATGCTTCAATTATAGGACTTGCTCATCAATTTTCCTTTCTTTTCTTTGTTAGTTTATGTTTCAAAATTATTTTCAATTGGAGTAGTCAATAGATGATGTTAAGTAGATAAATAAAGTTAACTGAAAATTGTTTCATGCCAAATATTTGCACTAAAGTTGATAGTAGTTTCTAAATCTACAGAAAGACTGATTCTAGAAAGTAAACGATAGAACATTGGCTGCTTCAAACTGGATTACTTTTCGTTTTTTTGTGGGGGTTCCTTCAAGTTAATCTTGACTCCTGGCGACTGCTTGGACAAGTCCTTGCAGTCTTTTTAGCAACATTTTTGGGAGTAGTTTGCCATTGCATGCTTGTAGGGCTGAAAGAGTATCTGGCTCAAAGTCACCCAACTAGCTGGCTTTGTGCCTAAGGCAAGACTGAAACTCACAACTTCTCTGTTTTTAGCCTGGTGCCTCAACCACTACACCAAACTGGCTCTCCACTCTTCAGACTGGTAGGGTAGGGAAAAGATGAACTTACACTGGCAGTTACTGTAAATTATAGCCTGCTCATTACGTGGACAGTAAAAAAAAATTACAGAGACAAAAGAAGTAGATTCTCTAAAATCTGAATAGTCACTTACAATCCTTTTAGTGCAGGGGTAGGCAACCTTGGCTCTTTTATGACTCGTGGACTTCAACTCCCATAATTCCTGAGCCAGCAAGCTGGCTCAGGAATTATGGGAGTTGAAGTCCACGAGTCATAAAAGAGCCAAGGTTGCCTACCCCTGTTTTAGTGTATCAGTGCAAAATGATACACTGTAATGCTTGGCATTATAAAATGTGGCAGCCCTCCAAATGTCTGTCCTTTAGCCACGTCCCCATTTGCAACCAACCTTGCCATGCTATTTTGTTTCTGTTGTGTTCCCATAATGTTCCCTTCAACTCAAGACTAGACCATGAGTGAACCAACCTTAAGTTGTCCTTAAGTATGCTGTTGTTAAAATAATATTAAGGACAGCTTCAGAACAGAGAAATCATGTTGGGCTTTACCATTCCTTAACATGGTGAAAAATGTGATGGCTAAATTATTGAGAACAGAGGCAAGATAGGAATCAGCCAGCAGAGACAAGAGGCATGATAGGAATCAGATTGCTTTCACCTATCACAACAGATTAGAGAAGGATATAAGTATATGGATGCTAAAACTACCTTGACTGGGGTAGTTCAAACCCTGTTTCAGGCCTGAAAATCACCATGTCACATTGAACTACTGGTGCTGTCTCAGAAATGTTGTGCCCAATCAGCAGTGGCAGTGAGGTCTGACATTTAAAACATCCCCTCCAAGGAGCACCCAACAAGGAGTTTGGACAAGAGAAAAGAAGTCACCATCATTGTCACAACTACACGGTAAATGCAGCAGAGGTGGTCTGTGGGTAGTGTACAAGCTGTCTTGCTTGACTCACTTCTCAAAGCAGAGAGCTCAGTTGAAGTCAACAAGACAACGGCCTGATCTGATGTTGTGTATTAGAACTTCAGAATGAGGGAATCAACACACTGGCTTTTCCATCCACCTAACAGGCCTATACTACTACTACTACTACTACTACTACTACTACTACTACTACTACTACTACTACTCTTTCAGACAAGGGAGTCTCCCCTTCTGCTTCCATGGATCTTCTCAAGGACACCCAAGCATAGCTGGGAGGCAGCAAGGTAAACCTTCTCAGATTTAATGCTTTTGGAATCTGACTCTTACCACAGCCCCTACTTGTATGGTCCCTTCCTTTTGACAGCCCTCAGAAAATTCAGGGAAGGCAATTTCCCACAGATTGGGCTGTAGCTTCCTACTGCTCTTCCTCTAGGAAAACTCAGGTTTTCAGGAGACAAACACCTTACTTCCTCTGCAACAGAGTGGGATTTTCTTACCTCCAGGTTAGGCTTTCGAAAACACTGAACAAACAGCCTGTCCTGTTGCTTCCAGACTGAATTAAATTTAGAGGGGAGGTTGCACTAAGTTACAATGTGAAACATTTGGTTTTAGGTACTATATGAATAGTTGGACACAGTAAATGAATTCTCCAATAAAGTATAATTTAAAAACCCTCATGACTTAATTGGAATCTATGAATGTGTATCAATACCTCCTTTGGTGAGGATATATCAGCCCAAAGTTCAAGACATTCAAAACTTACTGCTTAGAAGTGGAAGCCATACAACAAGCCTCTCAAACATTGATTGTCTGCAGTGTTTAAACCTAGCCAACATGGAGGACATTACTAATATAATTAGGCTTTGCCCATATTCTTCAGCACAAGAGCTCATCTGATACCTGCAGGTAGTTGGAGGAGGTAGATGAGGACTCTATATTTGCTTGCCTTGGTTACTTGGACTATGTGGTGCCAGCTTCTACATAGAGAGCTACGACTTGATTAGCAGCTAAATTAAATATAATATGTGACACAGCACTAGAGTGGTAAAATCATGTGTATAAAATCATGTCAGAAGGTTTTTTTTAATCTCAAAGGGCCTTTTTCAGGCTCTGAGCATCCCAGTGACAGAATATTCGTATTGGACTTCTTTCTCCGCTACTTTTCTCCCATCTTGCATGAGTGTCCCTTTTCCTCCATTCTTTTTTGCCCAATAATTAGAAGTCTGTAGGGAAACAACAAATAACACATGCCATAATGCTTTGCTAGATTAGCTTTGCTACCCTAAATGAAAACAATATATATTGATTCAACAGATCAATTCAAATACTGAATGGGCTCCGTTGCTCTCATTTCCCCACCCCACTATCTCTGCTTTAAAAAGGCCCAAAAGCTCCATGTCATGCACTCTATCACCTGACTTATTGGCTTCCTACCTAGAGTTCCTACAGAGTTGTTCTGTTATCTGGGCCAAGTATCTGTAATGTACTATTATTTATGACAATGCCGTTTGGCTATTTTTCCGCTCTCCACTAAGTCCATTTTCACTGTGCCAGTTCCAGTTTTATATGGAATGTATATCATGTAATGTTGTAGGAATCTGTGCAAGTCTGCTCCTTCTTGGCACCTCTCCGCCCTCCACCCCCCTTCACCAATTAAGTCTGTGACTGATTTTGGCCACTGTAGTATGAGAATTTCTTCAGGGCAGATACAGGTAGCATCAAAATATTATACTATGTTCTGTCTAAGTGTGGCAAATCTTACCTTCTGTTTCTCAGCTGGTATCTTCAAGGTGTAGGATTGCACCCTTAGGCAACCAATGTAAATAGTTTTGTTTAGATTTTGTGAAACTGTTTGCTTCTTTGTGTTTGCATAATTTATGGCAAATTCATTGTCTGATAAGTGTTTTTATGAGCAATCAAAAAGCAGGATATAAATATATTCTATTTTTTTCAAAATAAAATTATTTATCAAGGTATATTGTATTCCTTTATTACTAACATCTCTATGTGGCTCTGCAACAGTGCAGAGTAGCATCTACACAAAACCCAGAAGTAATCCAATTTAAATTTAATTTCCAATCCAGTGGCATATAAATTAAGTAAAATGTTTTGTAAAATATGTAATAAAAATATTCAAAAATAATTTATTATAACTTAATGTTGAATAATTGCTCTGTTGGATGTGTTTATAAAGAATGCTAAATATTTTAATATTTAAAAAGGTTTTTTTTAATTTTATACTCTATAAAAACATCCAAGAATTTTTTAAAATGTCTATTTGGCTAGGAAAACTACTAAATAATCCCCAAAATTTGATCCTTTACTTTTAAAGTAGTAGGATATGAGGGAAAATTTATCTATTCAGTTCTGCCTCCTTAATTAATTACAATATAATAAAATATATTGGGGGGGGGAACCCACGCTTATATATGCCTATTCAATTTTGCAGGTAACAGGTATTGCGTTTATTCCAAGGAAATACTGTTAACAGTTAAGCATTCATGTTTTAAAGGCATACATTTGCATACGTACACAATAAAGAACAACTGAAGTGAGAAATACATGTTCACGCTGGAAGCCGGGCAAAGTCTTGCGCCTCTATTTGAATATCGATGAATAGGCGGAGTCTACTTTACTACTGACAGGTCTAGAACCACGAGAGGAACCTTCGGACCTCCTGCGGGGAAACACGCCCACTCTCTCTAGTCTGCCTCCTTATGTCCGACAGTAACCTCGGCAACACCTCCTCCTCCTGACCCCCTCCCTTTCTGGCTCTCTCCTGTCTTAGAACAGCCAATGAGAAGCTGAGAACCGCCTCACGCTCTGGACGCCACCCTTCCTTCCCAATAGAAATGGCTTCCCTCAACTCTCAACAAACTAAATGTCCCTTCACGTGTGTGCGTAAGGGAGGGGGTGTAAAAGAGGTGCGGCTAACCTTTGCCTCAGTTAAGCGTTGAAGTTCTTGCTCCACCCTTCAGCCACCTGTTAGCCAATGGAAGGTGGGAGCCGGGAGTCTTGAAACCAATCGGCGCGACAGAAAAGTCGGCAGGGGCGTGGCTTAGGTGCGGGGGCCGCCGCGGCGGTACTACTACCGCGGCTGTTAACCGGGTTCGAAAGGGGTAACGGAGTGGGGTTCGGTTGGGTGGTCCGGAGGAGAAGATGGCGGAACACCTTGGAAAAGCCATCGCCGCCGAGGTGCGGCGCTGGCTCGGCACGAGCCTGGCCGACGTAGCGAAGTCGTTGGGCAGTTCGGAACAGGCACTTCGCCTCATCCTCTCAATCTTCCTGGGTGAGTAACGGCGGGGAGAAGGGACGAGCGTTGCAGCGCGCTGCCACGAGGGACAGAGATCGAGCCTGCCCCGGGGCCCCCCTCGGGATGCCTACAAAGCCCCGCGTCGTCTTGCCTTTCCAGGGTCAAATTGAGGCAGAGGTCGGCGTGGGCGACTGGGCTTCTTACGCGAGTAGGGGCGGCCCCCGTGAAACTGGATCGTGGTGAGCTGGGCGATCCTTCGTGCCTGATCTGACAGATGATCTCCTGTACATACCTTTTTTGCATTTATAGTCGTCCTTATTGCCTTACAGATATCTGGCGTCAACCCCAGGTTGTCATAAATCTCTGGAGCAACAAACTCTTCTGAATGACAAGTCTACGAAGGAGGGGGTGGTAGGGCTCCTGTTCCTCTCTAACCGGATAAACGAGCAGCCTTGTATGACAGGTTGCTCCTTCTGACTCCTCTCCTTTATATGCCCCCAGGGGTATCTGCATAAAAAGTGTGGGAAATAGGGCTTTAAAGTGTTAAGGACTCTGTTTTTCCTGTTTATCCTGGCTGTTAAAGGATCAAGGAATAGACTGTACTTCTCTATGTCTGGTACCCCACTAGTTGCAATGTCCCATTAAAATTTAGAATAGCAAACTCTGAAAAAAAACAGCAAAAGAAAAGATAGCAAAACTATTTTGCAGGAATGGCAACTTTTTCACTCCAATTTTTGCTTAGACATTTCTTAAGCATACATGAGCCTTTCTATCTGCATTTTGCATCAGTACTTAACAGCTGGCAATAGGAGCTTGAATGAGGAATTGTTTTTCTTAGGAGATGGTTAAATATGGGGAATGAATATGAATCATTAGCTCAAGAGTTGGCAAAACTTTAAAATATTATGGCTTGTAGATGTTGGAGGGATGCATATTTATGAAAAAGAAGATGACTGCTTAATGTTCTGTTTCAATTTGTTAATCTAAATTGTGAAAATGAACTCTAGGTCTGGGAATTTGAAAATACCTCTAATGCTAAAACATAAGAAGATTGTAATTATAGTTCCAAATGGAACTACTGCTATATTGTGTTCTTACAAAACAGAAAGGAATTTTATTTTTTATGAATGCACTAGTAAGAAAAAATACAGGCATCACTTGCTTACTTTAATTACCATTCAACCCTAGAAGTTATCCTTCTGTACGTTTTAGTCTAAGTTGACAACAGCAAGTCTAAATCTTTCTGAGTTTAGTGGGAAATTCTGATTTTCTACAAAGAAAACCATATTATCAATTGCAAACACGATAAAGTATGCCAGAGGACATTAAACCACAATGATCCTGAGCTCAGTGACATGCATATACATTTTGTTTGATCGCTGAAAATTCTTTCTACCTAATGTGTTACCTCTACTCCAGAAGATGGTAGAGGACAGGAAGGCCTGGAGGAACTTCGCAATTAACGACTTCGCAATTAACAACAATGTGTTACCACTCAGTTTAGATAGATAGATAGATAGATAGATAGATAGATAGATAGATAGATAGATAGATAGATAGATAGATAGATAGATAGATAGATAGATAAGAAATATATTAGAAATAAAATAGTCCGAGCACCAGGATAATATTAAAACAAAAATTGTTTAATACAAAAGCTAAAGCTAAGCTTTCGTCGTCTCTTGGTATCTTCCGAGGTTGTTATTTTCATATATCATATATCATATATAATTGATTACTTTTGGGGGAAGGGAAACCTGATTTTTTTGGTTCATTATTGTGCTGCTTTCTCAGCTGAAAGCAGTATATTATCACTTTGGAGACCAGATACTGACAAAATCCAGCACATCTTGCCAATGGAATGCTATCCATTTGAGCTACATAATTCTTTCTGTTCAAATTAAGAGCCACTTGTAAAGGTGGAATGCACTTATTTATGTATAAGATCTCAATCATCTTACATTATGTATAAGATCTCAACATCTTACATCATCTCAAAATTCCAAAAGCGATTAGGTTTCATTGGTGGAACCAATAGTAATTAACTCTGTAGCTCTCATAGAAATCTTGGCCTTTCCATCCAGGGCGTTCTCTCTCCTATAGTTAAAAGTACTTAGTTGTCTCCCAAGCCTCTCTCTCTTTTAATCTCTGCTAAGCTCATAGTAGAATGGCTTTAATTTAATGTACTTCTTCCAGTTTTTGAAGATCAGAGAGCATGCCTATCCAAGGATGTACTTGGGCTTACATTCACTGTTTCCATCAACCATTCATCTAAGGGCTTGTATGTTGAGGAGGTGAATGTTGCTGCACCCTCTTCCATAATTCTGTATATTCCTGTATCTCAGTGGGTGGTTATTTTAAGACAACAGCAAGATGATTGCATTGCACACCTGTGTGTTGGGAGTATTGCAAATTTGTAGATATTTTCTCATTTCAGATGTGTGCTTAATTAAGGCTTCCAAGGTGTGGTGTAAGATCTTCAGAACAGTCATGTTTGGAACATATATTCAGCACTGTGGCTTGCAAAGATACTCAAATTTACATGGAATAGAAGTTTTTTTACCTTTTCACATTAGCTTTCCCATTGCTTAATTAATTCCTAAATTTCCTCTGGTAGCTTTTAAAGCACAAATTTAATATAAGTAAAAGATATATCTGATATATGTTCAGTTCTAGTATCCTACCTATATGTCAGTTATCAAATAGTGTTAACATTCAGGTTTTGGGAATTCTTAGCTTATATATATTTTCTTGTTGGAACAGTAATATTGCTATACCATTTGACGCTGTACTGAAAAAAGTTTGCTATGTTGCTATCAGCTCTTATTGTGCCATCAGAACTCACTTTTGTTCTGAAATCTGTTCCATATTCCGTTTCTGAGAGAGAGAGAGAGAGAGAGAGAAGTTCTGTAGTCCAACCTCAGAGTCAGGATCCCGCATCATACTATTCAGTCATGCCTCCTGTGATTGGCAGCATTTTATAATGCCTTAAGTATGGTGATATCTTCTTTGTAGGCACTGGGATAGAAATGTTTGCATGCAAAGCATATGCTCTGTTACTGTTATGTGGTTCTTCCTAGAGAAATAACTGAAAGTCCCAAACCTCAGGCAGTCTGAGTTGACTAGATTACAGTAATGGCGATGATTTTGCACTTTTAAGGTTAACATTGGGCTGTAGCAAAAGTAGTGTGTTGATTGTTTGCAATGCTATTTGCAGGTAAGTATAACCTGAAAGGATAAGGTGTCAATATGTATTGACAAATAGAGAGCAATAATGAAAGAGCAATGGATAAAATTGTTGCATACTTGGAATCAGAAAAAAATCATCTTGACTCCATTGATATCTTCTCCTAGCTCTTGTTCATTTGTACAATAATGATTCATTTCAATGCAGTTTTCATGGAAGGAATTTTCAAACAGTTTGGACCTGTTGCTAATAATTACAAACCTGTCGCTCAATTTCTACAATTGTTTATAGGACAAAATAATCCAAATAAATCAAAGGTATATAAAACAAAAAGGATAAAAAATTATGAAAGCAGAATAGCATTAGCAGAGATAAGCACTTTAGATTTAAATTAAAAAGCTGAAAAATAAGAATGTATCTCTGAACTAAAGCATACATATATTGAACAAATAATACAGATTAAAGGAGACTTGTGAAGAAAACCTCCTCTGTTGGAATATCCATGGTTTCTGCCTGTCAGTTTTGTTCACAGAGAACAAGGGGAAAGACATCTTGCGAAGTTTTTAATGCATAAAAGCAAACTATGTATGCACTATTAACTAAATGTATATTCAAGGTGGACTATTATTTTTTACATTAGCCTAGATCAGTGATGGCGAACCTTTTAGAGACCGAGTGCCCAAAAACTGGCCCCGCCCCCATTCCACCCCCACCCCACCTGCCCACAAGGCCACTCACCCCCTCCAGGGCCCGCCGCAGATCGCCCAGGCAGCCCAGCAGCGCCATGGCGGCCACGCCCTCTGCCCACGTCCCGCAGCATCAACTGTGTGATGGAGTGTGAGGGCAGAGTCTTGTCTACGCTGCCTTGGCTGTGCTGCTCCGCGTGAGCCACGCTTGGGGGTGACTCTCCTCCAGGGGGGCAGCTGGTGAGGAGGGGATTGCAGGGGGAGACAAGGCTGGGGCAATGGCACGTGTGCCCACAGAGAGGGCTCCCGAGTGCCGCCTCTGGCACCGTGCCATAGGTTCGCCACCACTGGCCTAGATGATATATAATGTTTTGATTGACAATCTTACAAAGTTTACAGGCTTTCATTTTAGTGCAGTTCCACATCAGCAGCTTTTAAAGAAGACTGTAGTCTGTCTTCCTACAGTTTATATAATTTTAGATTCTGAAAATCAGCATTTTTCTTTTGAAATTCTTTGCTTCTCTGGGTATGTAGACAAAATTTGGAGGTGTAAAAGACAACATATGTGATGATCTTGCAAAAGATATGAGCATCGTGATTCATGCCATAATGTACAGAATGGTTGTGTGAACTTGGTCCTTAAAAATATACATTTGCCATTAGAATTGCTGGTTTATTAGAAAAGGGGTATGTATTTTTTAAGCCTGGCATTCTTCTGAGAAGCAGAAGAGAGAAATTGGTAAATACACATATGCAAATACATTGCACAGTATGCATTTGTTTTGTCCCAGTGCTGCTTTTGGGAATTGCAACTTAGATTTATAATCTTCATAAATGTATTTAAGATGTAAACAAATGCAAATCACAGGCAATGAATTGCTGTGTTTCTTTTTCTTTCAGTGCATTTTTATCATGCCCTTTCATTTTCTACATAAATGTTCCCATGTTATTGAGCTATTTTAATAGTGCTGTGGAAAACTAGGCAAATCTGTTGAGTTTAATTGATTCCCTCAAAAAAAAAATTAAACCTGATATATACGGCAGCTTATAAGTAATATGGATTTGAGCCTTTGGAATTATTTGGAAGCTTTTTTAATTTAATTCTGCAAAATCTCCTAAAATTTCAAATTTCCTATAAATTGAGAGTGTCCTTTTGCTGGATTTTTGTAAATGAGAAAGATGCTTGCAAAAGTTGTCTATTTATTAATAACTGGGTCTTAATATCATTCATGTATGCATGCGTGTATAAAACATGTATCCAGGAAGCTTGAGATGGGCATATTGATTCAGAGGGGGAGAAGAGTGTGAAATCCAGTTTATGATATTGCTTCTATATTATATGGCAGCTGGGTTACCGTATTGCCAGCATGACCTACTCTAGTGGACAGAAAAACATGTATTACAGAATGTGGCATGCTTTGTTTTAAAAGCTCGGTTTGTGAAACTGCATATGTAACTGGCCAAAGAAAAAAAGCAGAAGTGAATTGTGGCGGCTTCTCTTGCAAGTTGGGAAAGATAAAGTATTTTGTAAAGACATATAAAATATTAGTACCCTAGGATAGATTACTTATACAGTATTTTATATATCTTTATAAAACATAGGAAAATATTGTGACTAGAGAGACAAAATAACTGTCTTAATTGGGGACTATGACTTCTAAGGAAGTAACTCAGGAAATCCTTTTACAGTTTCATTAGAAACTTTCCTGTGGCTATTTTAGAGTGAAATTTAAATTTATTCTGCTCATTTGAAACAGGAGCTTGCTCTATTTGTGCTGAGGTGCATTGCAGCTCTATAAAGCTCTAGGTATCACATCAGCAGGAAAGGAAGTAAGGGGTTTTGTACATATGAGTAGAGCAGGGGTGTCAAACTCAATTTCATTGAGGGCCACATCAGCATTGCGGTTGTCCTCGGGGGATGCGGGTAGGTGTGGCCAGGGTGGGCGCAGCCTACTGGGTGGGCATGGCCAGCTCTACATCGTTCGCGTCAAGGGTGCCTATGGGGGCCTGGGCAGGAGTGGGACAGATCTGAGGGTCTCTGGCAGAAGGGGGTGGGACCGGGACAAGCACCAAGGCATAGTCCACTGGAAGACCCTCACTGTTCCTCTCAGGCCATGCGAGGGGGGGGAGGGCTGGATGGTGCCGCGGGCTTCCCGGAGCCCTGGGCAGCAGAGGTCAAACGCCCAGCCTGGCCCTCATGCACCCACAGCACCAAGCCCAGCCCCACTACCCCAAGGGGGTGCCCAGCTGCACTTACCTCCTCCTCAAGGTTGCTGCTGCTGTGCTTGTTCTCCTTAGCCAGGTTGCTCATGATGGGTATGAGGGCAAAGTCAGAGGGAGGCCCATTCCCTCTCCATGGGAGGAGACCTGGCTTTGTATCCAAAGCTTCCTTAGCAATAGGATGGGAGACCCCCAGGATAGGCCAGGAGGAGGGGGCAAGGAGATGGTGAAAGGGCAGCAGGGCAGGACTTCCCTCAGACCCTCTCTTTCCTTCCTTCCTTCCTTCCTTCCTTCCTTCCTTCCTTCCTTCCTTCCTTCCTTCCTTCCTTCCTTCCTTCCTTCCTTCCTTCCTTCCTTCGAACAGAATGGTGGGAAAATATTTGAGATGAGGGAGAAAAACAGGCAAGAAACGCAGCTGGGGAGGTGTCACCCTTCGTGAGGAATGAAGAATGCACCATCGCCTGGAAGTGGCCAGCACATGGCCCTCACCTACTTCACATATCTGGCTTAGTGGGCTTTGGGGGAGGGGACGCCATGAGCAACGTGAGAGTCGACGTTACCTGCGCAATGCCGTCCAGCCCCTAGCCTGCCTGTTTTCGGCAGGCAGCGAGGCACTCTCCTGACAGTGCCAAGAGGCTGTGCCGGGCAGCGCAAATCCGAAAAGAAGTATGATGCCACCCAGCCCCCAGCCTGCCCGGTTTCGGCAGACAGCAGGGCGCTCTCCTCACAGCATCGAGAGGCTGAGCCGGGCAGTGCGAAGCTCACCAGCTTTGCACCTTGCTGCCTGCTGAAATCAGGCAGACGGGGGACTGAGCGGCATCGCGCTTCTTTTTGAATTTGTGCCGCCTGGCTCAGCCTCTTGGCGCTGTGGGGCAGGCTGGGGGCTGAGCGGCATCGTGCTTCTTTTGGGATTTGCACCGCCTGGCTCAGCCTCTCGGCACTGTGAGGACAACCCCACTGCCTGCTGAAACCTCTCCCCCAGAGCCCATCAAGCCGGATATGTGAAGTAGGCGAGGGCCATTTGCTGGCCCCTTCCAGGCGATGGTGCATTTCTTCATTCCTCACAAAGGATGACACCTCCCCAGCGCGCACCCAGGAGACAGAGCCAATGCGGCAGGGGCCGGTCCCTTGCTGTTTCCAGATGGTCTTGTGGAGCTAAGACTGAATGCGTTTCAGCATAGATGGCCACCACAAAATTGTACATTGGCTCCCGGGCGGCCTGGGCCGGGGCCAAGGCAGCGGGGGCCATTCCCTCACTGTTTCCAGGATGGCTTCGCGGGCCACATGAAACCACGTCATGGGCCACATCCGGCCCCCGGGCCTTGTGTTTGACATGTCTGCCCTAAAACTATCACTATTTTCTATCAAAAAGTGGCCTACAGAAGTTGGACAGAAGATCAGAAAATAAGAATATATATAATTTATTTTGTGAAATACAGATGTGCTGTATTGATTTCAGTTGTTTTCTCTCTTTAGGATACCCCTTTGCCTTGTTCCAACGCTTCTTCCTTTTCCAGAAAAGTGACTACCTCATTCACATCTATAATACAATAATAGGACTTTCACTTGCCTACTTCAACTTTGGTAAGAGAGCTGAGAAGAAGACTGCCCTACTAGTGAGCACTGGGAAGGTGTCTGGGAGGGTGTACAATGCTGCTTGTCTATATGGTTTGTAACCATTCCTATTTACTTTCTTAGGGCCACAGGTCTGTCACTCTCTCATATGTGTCTTCGTACAGTTTCTCATCTTGAGGCTCATGGGTCGCACAGTCACTGCCATTGCCACTACCTTCTGCTTTCAGATGGTAAACATTTATTTAAATTTACTTGCCACCCAATTCCAATGAACATACTTCCTCCCTTCATGCTTTTCTATGGAATTCTGATTTTGTCTGGGTCTGATGGGTTCAGCAAGTACTGTGAGGAAATTTCAAGCAGAGAAAATAGAATCTGTGCAATAGCATGTGATTTTAGCTAATGTTTTTCAGACGTATTTGATGGCTGGATATTATTTCACGGCCACAGAGCACTATGACATCAAATGGACCATGCCACATTGTGTCCTGGCTCTAAAGATGATTGGTAAGTAATTCCATTCCATGCAGTTCCTGACCTATGCAGTTCCATCTGGTCCCTTTATTTTTACTCTTGTGATTTTAATTTATTGCCTTGGAGTTCCCAGAGTTCTTGTATCTTTAAAAACAATAATTGACAACTCACACCCAGATGTTTCTTAGCTCAGCTGTGACTAGATCCATAGCAGTTCTATATTGGCTGCTCCCAAAGTATTCAATAGGCATATTTCTTGTTTGATAATGTATATTTTTTGTAGGTTTGGTTATTGATTACTATGAAGGCAGGAAGGAAGAGGTGAGTAGAACCAGTTTTTTTCCCTCCATTATTCTTTAATCATGAATTGGAATCATAAGAGAAATTGAAAACACTTCTGTGACTCATACCAGATCACCTATGATTGGAAAGACATTCCCAGAATATTCTTTATAAGATAGAAATCATCACACATTTAAATTGAGACTTCAAAATGAAATTAGATACTTAATGGAAATTCACAATAAAGGAGAAAGAGATCTTGCAGCAATTGAAGTCTAGATAGCTGTTAAGCTGGTGAGCAGACTTAAATCTCTTTAGCTGCAAACAGGGCCTAAAATTATGTGTTTATTAAGAGAATAGAACTTACAGACATTTGTTTTTATTGCACCATCTTTCAAAAAGACTCAAGCGGAAAGGAACATTCCTACATCTCACAGATCTTAGATAGTGGCACCCTCACTCCTTCATTTAAACAGTGCAAACTTCCTTTATCGTGAACATTTATTTTTGCTTCCATTAAATATACGTGGAAGATTAAAGCAAAAAAGAACATGGCATCATTCAGCCATTAGAAAAATCATTGCATTCCTTTAGATGAAGATTTACAAATAAGACCAAGGAGGGTAGTTTTGTGAACTTCGGTGTTGGTTCACCAGATTTGGTTCCCCAACTCTTCTGCATTAAAGACAATAGTATTACTACTGACCTTAAAAAACGTAAAGTGAAAGCTTCCAAGGTAGAGGCTAACAACATTTATTTGAATAGTTATAAGCATTCAGGCTTATCCATGCATCAAACTAAAATTAAAGAAAGGACGAGATTTATGTGTGTGTATGGCTAAAACTGTTATTGTACTACATTCATTCCTAAGTGGAAGTGAATGATCCTGAAGGCATGCAACTTGGATGTTTCTCAGATAATGTACAGAGTTATGTAAAATATAACAAAGGTTCTTCATGGGAATATTGGAGGCAAAGTATTCAGATAAAGTCTCCATATTTGTAAAATTATTTATTTCATTTGTTTACTAGCCTGTTTTGCTGCTTCATTCAAGCTAACTCTATTGTATGAATACAAATTCCAGCAGCTAAACTTCCCATTGATCCCATTCTGTGCAATACACTCAGAGCCCTTCTCGGCAGATACTGGAACAAAATTAAATGGGCAGTCTCTGAAGTCCTAAATTTGAAGATAACGGAATTGCTGCTAATTCTGTCAAAACCAAATTAGGCAGCCATACTGTACTTTTAGAGGCCAAATTCTAGCAAAATAGGAAAATCTCCATTACTTGGGCGGTACAGGTAGTCCTCGACTTACAACAGTTCATTTGAAGTTATAATGGCACTGAAAAAGTGACCAATAACCATTTTTCACACTTACGACTATTGCAGTATCCCCGTGGTTATGTGATCAAAATTCAGATGCTTGGCAACTGACTCATAGTTAGCTGCCAGATTGTGGTGTCCTGGGATCATGTGATCATCTTTTGTGACCTTCTGACAAATAAAGTCAATGGGGAATCCAGATTCACCTAACAACCACGTTACTAACTTACCATCTGCAGTGATTCACTCAACAACTATGCAAGAAAGATCATAAAATGGGGCAAAACTCCCTTAACAACTGTCTTGCTTAGCAACACAAAGCATTGTGGTCATAAGTCAAGGCCTACCTGTAAGTTGCTTCAGAGCGATGGAAGTGGGCTTCCTCCAAATGTTGAGCGAAGAAAAAGTGAAATAGCAAACTCAATGTTCAATCTAATGCTTTCCCCCCCTTCTTTTCTGATTTTTAAATGTTTAGCCTTGTTACATGTTTTTTTTAAACCCCAGATTTTACAATTATTCTTTAAAAGATTGTTGGCTTGGTGAGAGTATTGCAATTCGGATATATTATTTTGAATATTTTACAATGCTTAGATTAATTTTCTATCAGCTTATCCTCAAGTCTCTGGATAAATACTACAAATAGCAGTGAGGTGGCTTAAGAAGAACATAATATAGAAAATTTGTGTGAGTACTGTCTGCTGACATCCGTAGTTCCTGGCAGTTTGGTGCCAGGACAATGGAAGGGTATCTGTTTGTGTAGGGAGTGGTTTTTTTACTCATTTGGAACATGTGGCTTGTTAAATTGTAACAAGCACAGTGAAAAGCTTGAAAAGTGATATTGGTAACCTTCCCAGATGCTGCAACCTTCAGCTTATCATGGGTTCTGCTGTGGTTGTCTCCACCTCTGGTATCTGTTGCTGCAGTACCAAAGAATAAACTGATAAAACTGTGTAATTGGCAAGCACTTGAAATGCTTATTGCATCAAGGATATAAGAGGAAAGGGTTTTTTTTTCATTTTTCATTTTACAACCATATATTTGTACAATTTGTTCTACTGTACACTAATTTATGCAGCAGTATTCTGTTTATTTTTTATATACCACTTCTCTTTAAAAGAGATCTTGAAGCAGCTTACAATAACATTCAAAATGATTAAAGAATTGCTTTTTTTTCATCTAACAGTTTTTATTTATGCCAAGCAGTTGAAATTCTGAACTCTGAGTAAAGTCTAGGTATAGAAAACTAGGTTCTTTTGAGATTCAAAACCTTACAGGAAAGGTTTCGCGTAGGAGTGCTAATGTTGGTGTTTTTCTTATTATGGTGCAGGAATCCCTAGCCCCTGACCAAAAACAGTTTGCTGTCCGGGGAGTTCCTACTTTGCTTGAAGTCTCTGGCTTCGCCTATTTCTATGGTGCCTTCATGGTGGGCCCTCAGTTCTCCATGACACGATATCAGAAGTTGGTAAAGGGTGAGCTGACTGATGCTCCAGGGCAAAGACCCAACAGGTAAACTTCCATGCTGCTACAAACCAACTGCCAAAGTCTCCCTCGTTAAGGATACATCTATGCAGCTTCCAAACTAGCCCAACATTATTAATACTATTTGCATTGGGAGCCATTTGGGGATTCTCAACTTCTTTTGGTCGTGAAATGCTGGTGTTATGTGAACCGTTTCAGCCAAACCACGCATTCCCTTTGTTTCAAAGTATGACACCAGAGGGAGTCTGAATTTTCTGACATTTGTTATAGCTTTGTTCCTGCTCTTAAACGTCTACTTCTGGGCACTTCCTTCATGATAATCTATACTGTGGCATCACCTTATATTGAGGAGGAATATCTTGTCTCTGATGATTATATGGTAAGTAGTGCTAAAGGCTTCTATAACTTCATATTAAGGAGAATAAAATAAAAAATAAAAATAGCGTTTGGCTACATTAGGATAACAGTTTAGCTCACAAGAAACTTTATAATGATTGTCTCTTGAATAATAACCTATAGTTCTCTGATCTACTCTTTTTAAATTTTGTCTCATCCAGATGCGCTGAATTTAAATTCCCAGAATTTCAAATGAACGTAAGATTTGAAATTCAACCAATCTAGAGGGCATTAGATTGAACAGCTTGATTTTAGTCATCTGCTAGTACAAATGAAACAGTATCCCTTGTTCCTAAAACAACACCAGAAAAACCATCAAGTATCAGTTTTCTTTACCAGTGTTTTTTCTCACTATTTGCTTTATTCAATTTTTTATAAGTGATATATTGAGTAGTGTCTTTTGATGAAGGAAAGCAACGCCCATGTATCACTAATATCTACAATAAACCCTCTTTATGAGTTGCCTGAGTCAAATTCTCAGATGTTCTCTGTGGGAATGCATGCACTCAGTGCTTTGATTTACACATCCTAACAATTTCTTAATAGTTCACATTTTGCCTGTCATGGCTTTTTTTTTGTATGCTGTTCCAAAATTTGAGACCAGGAAAGCTACTTCTGAAAGTGCCCTATTTGAGGTTCTGAGGTTGGGCTTATTTGTATCTAAGATGAACCTTGTGATTAAATGTTGGACTATTAAAAACAAATTTGCTCCTTCTGGCTTTTGAGCAATAACATTTTTTTTTGTATTTACTATGTAATTTTATTTTGATTTTTCAAAATGTCTCTTAAATATAAAATACTTTTATGATTGGTTTATGATATTGAACTGCATTTTTATAGTATAAGTGCTAGGAATTTATACAATAAAACCATTTTTTTTTGCTTCCGACACTAATTTTATCTTACAAATGTGCTCTTATAATGCAGAAACAGTCCTTCTGGTTTCGCTGTTTTTATATATTGATCTGGGGCAAGATAATGCTTTACAAGTACGTTACCTGTTGGCTAGTGACGGTAAGCCTGGACGTTGGACAGTTTATTCCCTTTCTTTGGGGCCAACTTTGTTTTGACAAGGACCAATCCAGCTACTAAAATAATAATATATATACTTAATAGAAAAATAGATTTAAAAAAGTAACCAAAACGTAGAACTGTTAATCTTCAAAGGCCCTCGCAAGAGAGATGCATCTTTACAGAGAGTGAGTGAAGGCCAAACACAGTTCCCAGGTGATATTTAGGTCTCTATTACTTGGGCAGGAAGGCAGTTCGGGGTTATCTAATCTATTCAGTAGTTTAAAAATTAACATCAATCCTTTAAACCAGACATGTCAAACTCACGATGTCACGTGATGTCGCGCAATGTATCGGGACGGTTTCGCCATTACCAGCAATGGGGTGGGCGCAGCTTCCGGATGATGCATCCGGCCCGCAGGCTAGCAGTTTGACACCCCTGCTTTAAACTGTATCTGGGAAGCAATTTGGATTTAGTGCATATCTTGTACCAGTTTATATTATCCAGGCACTTTTCAAGATTACTCCCACATAGAATCTGTTATAATAGCAGTTCAGGCTGTCACTAAGATGGGGAAAAGGTAGCTAAATGTAACTTCAGGAATCATTGTAGCTGATGGGTTTACTTAAATTGTTCAAATCTATGCTCTTCACCACAGCTGCCACATGTGAATCCAGATCAGACTGGAAATCTCTTCTTTCAAGGAGACAGGCTGAGTCTACTCTCTAGCCCACTTCATTACTAATTAACACTGGATTTAATTTTAGCTTGTTGTTCTTCATCTAGCCCATTATTGTGTCTAGCCACTAATCCAGGGCATTGAATATGGCCCTGCAAATCTGTTTTCTAATTAGGTTAGATAGAATAATACTTAATTGGCATAACTTAATAATCCTATGTTATTTTCATTCCAGGAAGGAGTTTGCATCTTAACTGGGCTAGGCTACAATGGAAGGGATGAAAAGGGGTTACCACAGTGGGATGCTTGTGCCAACATGAAAGTCTGGATGTTCGAGACAACTCCTTATTTTACAGGAACCATTGCCTCCTTCAATACTAACACCAACAATTGGGTAGCCCGGTGAGCATAACTTGGCTGTTTTCTGCAGAACAGTTTGAGTCAGCCGGAGAGTAAGAGTGGAATAGGAATGGGATGGAATGGGGATGGGGTTGTATTTGGGGAGATTAGGTGATTTTTGTGTGCAAGGGCTAAGATCTGAGTGAACAATTTGCAGCTCCCACAGCGCTTTTGACCGCTACTGCAGAAAATCAGCTGCAGGTCTCCCAGAGAGTTTGAGCAATACAATGCATAAAAACGAAAACAGAGAAAACTCCCAAACTCAATAATGTGGTATGACTCTGTCCTCTTACATCATTGTCCAACCTGCTGCAGTTTGTGGTTTTCTAAAAAATGTTAAGCCTTCCAAGATTGCTGTTTGGCTTGAAAAGCAGAGGATATACAGCTGGAGGCTAAGAGAATTGGGCTAGTCAATGCCTAAAATGGGAGTAAGAATTAAATACTGTTGCTTTGTTCCATGATGAAAGAAATGCAGCTATAGCCTTCTTCCACTTCCACAAAAAAAAAAAAAAAGATTTACTCTAGGAATTATTTTGACTAAGAGCAAGGAGCTATTCAGAGCACTGAAACAGTATCTCTGATTTCTGGTATTCCCATTGAGGGCCTTTTATATCGTATTTGGAAGTTTTAGCAAGCATCATTTGTATTCTCACACCATTCAAAACTAGAGCCTGCTAACTTTTAATATTTGCCCTTTATTTTGAACAGCCTGAAATTAAAAGAAAAATAAAATGTTGGCAATTTCTTGGGATGGGTTTGTTAAGTGTTTTTTTCTGGAGAAATAAAATAATTATGTTGACACTTGTCCTGACAGTATTACATTTCCATCCCTAGCTATATGTACAAACGCCTGAAATTCCTAGGAAACAAGTTACTATCGCAAGCTTTATCTTTGCTTTTCCTGGCTGTCTGGCATGGGCTACACTGTGGGTATCTAGTTTGCTTCCAAATGGAGTTCCTGATTGTCACTGTGGAGAGGCAGGTGAGGACCTTTTAAAGTGTTACCTTAGATAATATTTAATATCTGGATCCACTTTAAAAAAAAGCAGACAGATTGAGCGAATTATAGATTGAATGTCAAAGTTGTACTGAGGCATCCATGGGCACAAGTAAGAACAGTCAGACTGATAAAACCAGCAAGTCCCACTTGTTTTCTACATGCAGCACTGCACTTACGCTCAGAGGGAATGGAACCTGTAGCAGGACACTGCTTTCATTCTAGTGAAAGGAGCAAGATCAGGAGCCCCTAAAGCTGTATTTGGTTCATTCACAGTTCATTGAATCAGGAGGTTTCAGATTACATTTTAGCACATGGATGGATCCAGCAGTTATCACAATGTGGCAAGGACTTTTAAATACTGGAAGTTGCTTTTGAGCTTCCCCAGCGACACTTTTATGTTAAGTTGAATTCTTCTTAAGAGAATGAAATAAAATGTCAAGTCTGTGCATTTCAGTGTGCTGAAGACGTTACTAAATGTAAATCCATGCAGGAAAAGAAATAAATCAAAGAAATGCAGATTACATTCCTTGAAGTGGTTGACAGCTGCAACACATTGGCTTAGGGAAACAGTCTCTTGATCAACCCAGGACAGTTTGAAGCCGAGCAGTTTGAGGCTGATTGGCAACTTGTGATAATTTATTGAAATACCAAACGACTGTTGAAGCAACTGCTGCTCTAGTGAGATGGCAATAAGCTCACCGAAGAGATTTTTATGGGAGGAAGGAAAGTAAAAATGGGTAAGCAGCAGAGCCATGCTTTGTTTGTTCATCTGTAAGCTTAAAGCTTATTATGTTTGTTTTTTTTGTAATTACAGGCTATTAAACTGGTAAACGACAGTCCGTTTCTGTCTGCCTTGGCTTCAAACATCATCTTGAGGCCCTTCTTCTATGTGATTCAGCAAACTATTCACTGGATGTTCATGGGATATTCTCTAGTACCATTTTGCCTCTTTAGCTTGGAAAAGTGGATTAAGGTACCAAAAGAGCCAGATTCTCTAGAAGAGGGCATTTCCCCTCTATTTACTGGCTGAAGGAAGACATAGCACACTGACTTCCTCATCCTCTTTTGCAGGTGTACACGTCTATTTATTTCGTAGGCCATGTGTTATTCTTCACACTGCTGTTTACATTGCCTTATATCCGAAAAATATTTGTGCCACGAAAAGAAAAGTTAAAGAAAACTGAGTAACGGCCAAAAGGTGAGAGAACTATTCCTGAGTAGTCACTAGAGCATAGTGGTTTTGGATGACATCTAGTTGATTTATTTTGCTTTTCTTTTCAGATTGTACCATGTGTGCATTTATTACAGGATGGTTAAAGCGTCACCTGCCAAATTTGCTGTGGACAAATTGTATTACAGTGACTGGGGTGAAAGAGCACAGGGGTTAAGACCCCAAACTGAGGGGAACAGGCTGCAGACCTCGGTACCCTTTCTACAGATTGCCTTATCTCAACTTCTCCCCAGACACTTCCACCTCTGCAGTGTCAGATGATTGTAAAGCACTTGATCCAGCTGCCATCTAGGAATGGAGCATCTGCCTGACTTTTTTACTTTCCAATTCCACTAGATAAAATTGGTCCAAGTTGCTTTTTCATTCATGCTTCAGCTGCTTCTTTTCACCAGATTTTGGAACCGGTACTATTTTTCTATTCTTACTAGTGTTATTTGTAGCTTATGGCAAAGAATGAGGAACATGGTTGAATGTGGTATATTGATTCTTCAGAGGTTGACCTTTTCTCCTGTGTACACATGAAGGTTACCCACTTTATCTTCACACCTTGTTCTTGTGCCTTTAATGATGTGCACCACAGCAACTGAGTACACTTCTCTTTTTATACAGGCAGTTGCTTATATACAATAGCAATCCTGGTAGTTTCAGCAGTGGTGAGTACACTTTAGCCAAAGTGTTTGCTCGGATAATTCTATTTCTCCTGATCACTTGGAGGAGATAGTCACAGGAATCTTCGCGAGGGCAAGTGACAAAATAGTATGCATATCTTGTCAATTTGGCTATCACTGGGACTAGGTGAGGCTACCTCTGGAAACTGTGATGGTATTGCTGTTATTCAATGGGCTCTAAGTAGCCTCCAAAACTGTTTATTTAACTGACTTGCTATAGTTCATGGAGATACAGGGAAATATTTTTTAGATTGGAGATACAGGTGAAATGACTGTCATGAGACTCACCAGTTATGTGACTGACATGGCAAAAGCATAGCTAATCACAAAGGAAAATTAGTCTCCAGGAAGTTTTCTATAATCCCAGAGGAAACTTTAAAGGGCCTAAAGATATTGATACAAACAAATAAGATGCCAGAAGTTAAAGCTTTGTGCCATACCAGTTTCCTATTTATTTTTTGATTAAAATAATTTTGGGGAGGAAAAAATAGGTGGGGTGGGGAACCTGGACATGTACAGTAGTGGCCAAAATTGTGGAAACCTTTTGGGAAAAGTGTATTTTTGAGGTTTAATGGCTAATAACACCACTTTTTTTTGGAGCAGTACCATAAAATTATATATCAATGGGAAGATAATTTAATGAAGAATGTAATGCAACAAAGTTTGTTCAATTATCTGTACTGTATTCTATGAAAAGTTATAGCCAAATAACCAGAAAAAGGAAGCACAACTTGCTTAGGTTGATATCAGGTAGCTTTCTTTCATCTGATTGTAGCCAATGAGCGTGTTTAGAGAGCCAATCAGGTGTTATCTTATTTTGGCAATGAGTCAATCAGATCACAGTAGGATTCAGTTATTGATGTCATATACTGAAGCTGAGAGGAGGACATTTGTCAGTGTTATGTGATCGCTATCAAGTTGGTTCGGGTTTTTTGTGTTCTTTCATTTAGTGAGCTTGTAAAACGTAATAAAATTAAAGTAATGGTGCAAAGAGTTGACTGGTTGCCCAGAAAGCGATGTAAAATAGTATTAAGTGAACAAGGCTACAGTTATAAAGAAATTAGAAGAAAAATTGGTGGAAACTTAAACCAAAGGTGGCACTGCTACTGTACACTTTTCCCAAAAGGTTTCCACAATTTTGGCCACTACTGTACAGCAACTATTGCTAATCATTATTTAAGAGCTGTGGTGACGCAATGGTTAGAATGCAGTATTGCAGGCTTGCTCACTGCCAAGAGTTCGATTCTAACCAGCTCAAGGTTGACTCAATCTTATATCCTTCTAAAGTTGGTAAAATGAGGACCCAGATGGTTGCAGGCAATATGCTGACTCTGTAAACCACTTAGAGAGGGCTATAAAGTCTAAGTGCTATTGCTATTGCTATTAAGTATCACACTGCTATATACACAAAATCTTTATTTGCTACAAAAAAGTAAGGGTGTATTTCCCATAGATAAGGGTACAGCACGTAACATTTACAATACAGAGAGAGCCCTGTTAGATCAAAATATAGGCTGCGAATCTATAAACAAAACAGAAGGTTTATACAACTCCCCACATTTCTTCAAAGGCTGTGGTGATTTTAGCACAAGTCAAAGCAGCGGAGAGTGGATAGTTGCTGATAGATATGGTCTTTTCTGTGTAGTCAACATTAAGCTGAAGGAGAAAAATGGCAACCAGTCAAGTTTTCTAAAGTATATATGTTATTGTTTAATATCTAGGTGATTAATACTCCAATCAATTATACAACAGAGAATATAAGTTAGACAAATGATCTAACTTTCCAGAAAACAAATTTGTTTCTATAACTCTCTGTAAATTGGTGCACTCTTAAAAAAAACCAGCTCCATAATCTCAGCAACTAAGGTTTCCCTCTTTAAGTGGTAAGTCAATGCAGGAGACTATTAGCATTCTGCCACTAGTATTCCCACCCCTCTTTATAGAAATGTACCAAGTTTACAGCACATGTTTTTAAGACATTTAATCCAGTTCTATAACAAGAGCTATTATATAGGTAGTCCTTAACTTACACCAATTCATTTAGTGACAGTTCGAAGATACAACAGCACTGAAAGAAATAACATGACTGTATTTCACACTTACAACTGTTGCAGCATCCCCATGGTCACTAATCAAAATTCAGATGCTTGGCAACTGACTTGTATTTATGACAGTTGAGGTCATGTATTCATCTTTTGCAACCTTCTGACAATCAAAGTCAATGGGGAAGCTAAATCCATTTAACAGTTGTGTTACTAACTTAATAACTGCAATGATTCACTTAACAAATGTGGCAAGAAAGGTCCTAAAATGGGCAAAACTCACAACAAATGTCTCGTTTAGCAACAGAAATTTTGGGCTCAACTGTGGTCAGAAGTTGAGGACTACTATATTATCTTTGCTGCCAGAACCTCAATTAAGTTGGAGGTGAGATAATTGGCTTGCAAATAAGGGAGAGAGTCTAAGAACATATACAGGCCTTACCGATCCATGAGCAAACGCCCCCACAATTATGGCGATAGGATCTGCAGTAGGGACTAAGTCACGCATGTCTGTCACCTGAAGGGCTGAGAAAGAGGTGCCTAATTTTGTGCAGCCCACAGGGAGGTGATCTGTCACTGGGTTCTTGATCACCTACAGAAGAAAAACTGGATTAAGCTGGTAATAGAAACATAATTAATCGTCTATAGAATCATAGTAGAATTAGTACCTTTAATAGCTTTTGAGGGCCATCAGCAGCTCTGACACTAAACTTATGCAGCAGCTGAACTAAGGAGAGACAAAGAAACACTGAGAATACAGAAGTACATATTGTTAGTTGCTTGCAACAATCCCATACAAGCAGTGGTTTTCAGAGTATTCTCTTTTTCCGTACACCAGGGGGGTCAAACTGCTGGCCCACAGGCTGGTTGCATCATGTGGAGGCCGCGCCCACCCCAGCTCCGGCAATGCAAAAAAAGTCACAATATGTCGCGACACGTCATGTGACGCGGCGAGTTTGACACCTGTGCCATAGACTAATGCATAATTCATGACCTACTAATTAATTAATATGACCTGACAGGGAAAGCTAATATCCATTTGTCATCTCCAGAAAGGGAAAGTGATTTAATTTAGTAACATAATGTAAAATTACTTTCAACCCAGATGATGGCTCTCTAGCCTTCTTAGCAGACCAATGGACTGACAAAATGCAGAACCATACAGAAAGCCAGGTTCTCTACCCTTAAGAGATGGAACATAATCACATCCATGTATTTCATTAAATTATAATTACATGTAAACTACAGTGAACTTCACCAACTTTTTATAGTTCAACCCCCAGCGTAATTTCAATATTTTTTGTTTGCTCCTCTTTAAAATCTTACTTCTTGTACTGAATACAAAATATATTGTACTTCCAGGCTCAACAAAAAGGCAAATATGTTCCAGAAATAGTACTAGAAAATCCATTGTTTCAGTATGTTACGCTAATGTGATGGACAGGTTATAAACTAACAGTACCTGGAAATATAACTACCTAGACTACCTAAATAAACTACCTATATAAACATTCTGCAAGGTAGTGTGCACCTGTTATCAGTAAAAGTGATCCCAAACTAGACTAGTTTAATACAAAGATCCACAGACAAACATTGTTCAGTATGCTTAATGGGGTGGTATATCTTAGTTGTATTTCTTACCCATGAGACCACAAAAACGATCAAAGGTGCGAGGAATTCTTGTCTGTGGATTGACTTCAATAAGAACGTTTTTTTCTGTATGGATGTATACTTGGAGAAGGCCAGCTCGGTTTAAAGGACTGTCCATGAGCATCAAGAGGCTCTAAATTAAAAAATGAAAAATCATATATGTACCTATTTAAAAAGCAAAATCTAAGAAGTCTCTCTCAGAAGAGTTCAAGACTGTTGTAAAGAATATTTGAGAAAGGGCAGTGCCTGAAGAAAGAAATGATAGTGAAAAATGATAGTGAAATGATAGAAATGATAGTGAAAAAATAAAAAGGAGCATTTGTGGCGTGATTCAAAAACCGAATTGCCAGCATTAGCTTCTGGCCTTTTCATGAATGTAATTTCCTAATTAATATTTCAGGAACAGAGGTGGGCCATAAAACTGGACTTAAACCTGCATAGAATACCTGGTGGGTGATATCTGGTCGAACTCCTCCAGGGTCTCTGCCATTCCTCAGAAGCAAGGATTTATGCTTGTCACAATTAAGCAATTCATATGTTTTCCCAACCTTAAAACAATAAAACAGTGCCAAATTAGGAAAAGCTCCCATCCATACTACTAGATAAACTTTTCTATATGACTTCTGAATTCTCTGGTTCTACACCATTGGTTCATGAGCAAGAGACATTTATGTTCTGTATGACACATGGCGCTCCATAAATCGAATTTGTGGGAGGAAATGGCAATTTTATTTCTCAACAGAATTTCCCTTACCATATCAGTGCTCTTAATCTAACATCGTATTTTAAGAAACTAAGATCTCTGCATCCCATACTACCAACCGGTTAAGTTATGACACCTGTGCTTAAATATATGGCCTCTGATAATAGGGGCTTTATATAATGATAACGTCTCGCCTCGGTTCTTCCCGGCATTTTTTTTTTTAAAAGCCGTCCAAATATGTCGGGATTACCATTTCCAGAATCCGTCCAAAGTGACGATTCCAGCGGTTGCTCTCACCCCGCACGTGGACATAACCAGCTTGGGAATTGCTGGCCGAGAAATGCTGCCGTCAGGATAAGATCTTTGTCCCGCACACAGATTAAATCCAACGTATTTCAGAGAAAGGTGATAAAGCCACTCATAACCACCCCGGAGGAGCTTTTGACTTTGGCCACTGCTTCGGAAGGGAAGTTTAAAGCCGCTTCTCCTCCCGGACCCTCCTCCGTACTCTTCTCCGAGACTTATAAACTTTGCCCAGCACCCTCGGACAGCCTCCCGCACCTTGACGCTCTCCAGCGACGCCCCCTCCAGGATCACCACCAGCCGCCTCTTCCCGGCGCGGCGGGGATCAAACCCCTCTCCGCCCGCAGAGCCTCCCTCCGTGTGGGGACGCTTCCGCACGGGGCCGGCCGCCATCTTTAAAGCGGCGAACTCGCGGTTTTCTCCCACGGGGGCAGCGGCTTCCTCTTCCAGGGCCAGCCACTTCCTGTTCCCGAATTGTGCTTTCGCTTCAAGGCGCTCGAGCCAAGGACGGAAACAGAGCCCCACACTGTTCGCACGGACACACGTTGCGTTTCCAGATGGGCCGAGCCGCAAATAACGACGCGCCACTAGGCTTCAGGGGCTTGGAGAGCCATTAGCTGCTTCGGGGTGCTCGAATGCTACGCTTGCGCAAGGGGGAAAGCCCTTCCGGCCTGACCCGGAAACGTTTTTCAGAGCCCGCCGTTTCCTGTGTCCTTCTCTCCGGCGCGGCGGCGTGACTGACGAACGAGGGTGAGGACTGGTTATCCTCGGAGGCGGATTCTGTGAGTTTTTTCTAAGAGGAGCAGAAGCATTTTAGGGCCTCCGCCTTCTTCCTCGAGGATGAATTCTCTGTAGTGAAGGGGCAGCAGGCATGTTGGGGAAGGGAGCGGCTGACTGATCCAGTGCTTTCAATGGGACCGTTTCAAACAAGGGGCGTGCTGCAGAATGGGCGGATTTTATTCATGATTTAACAGCTGTGCTGAACAAATCGGGGGGGGGGCTGAATTCGCTTGCATTACCCCGCTCCATAGACAATTGCCCCGCTTGCATGGCTTTTTAGAAGCCTGTAATATCGCACTTCTGAACGGGGTGAGGTTCCTTAATAAAAACTTTCGCTCTTGGCGTCCTAGCAGTAAAGAATGGCTGCTTTATCATAATATATGTGTGTGTGTGTATGTATGTATATATATATATATATATATATATATATATATATATATATATATATATATATATATACACATACATACATACATACATACATATATATATATATATATATATATATACATACATACATACATACATACATACATATATATATATATATATACACATACATACATACATACATACATACATATATATATATATATGTTATGTACATATATCATAGTCTGTATAAGTGGTTAGCAAGTTTCAGCTCTCTTATTGGTGTGGTTCTCGGTGCAGAATTCTTTATTCAGAGATAATTGCATGCATAAAATACGTCATGCACAGTCCACCTCTCCTTCCAAACTTTATCAGAGTTTCAGTAAGAAATTTTGCAGAATTGTGTAATTGTATAATTGTGGACCTGTCTCCATAACAAGGTTGCCATGGCTCAGAGCCTGAAAGACTTTGCTGGCCGCCTGCCTACTGGCCCGCGTGGGATGAGCACTGCTTTAAAGTTGCTGTTGGGTGCTGGAGCTGCAGCTTATGGAATCCGTGAGTCTGTCTTTACAGGTAGGTAACTTTTATTTTAATTCTTTAATCTTTTTCTATTGTTCAACTGTTGGTGGTAACACCAGAATGCTTTTGATTTCTACAGTGGAAGGTGGACAAAGAGCAATATTCTTCAACCGCATTGGTGGAGTTCAGCAGGATATTGTGCTTTCAGAGGGACTTCATTTCAGGTAATCATCTAGGGCAGGGGTCCCCAACCCCGGTCCACGGATCAGCACTGGTCCATGGCATGCCAGCAATCGGGCCACGCAAACAAGCGAAGCCCTATGCGTGAGATGCAGGCAGCACGCAAAACCACACCCCCTCAGGTCCGCAGAAAAATCTCTCCATAGAACCAGTCCCTGGTGCCCAAAAGGTTGGGGGCTGCTGATCTAGGAGATTGGGTGGTGTAGTAGAAATTTTTTTTTAGAATTGACCAGTAATTTGAAGGCAATATTATCCTCGTACCAATGTTTCCAAAGATATTTCCCCTCAAATTTAATTTGGTATTACTTCAGTTTGGGAAGATAGTTTTTAAATTTTCCCTCAAAGCTATTTAAAAAACCTTCATATTGATATAATTTCTGTTTTTGTTAAGATAGTGCTCTTAAAACTTTTAGAGATATTTTCTCATTAAAGAGTAAAGTTTAAGTTATGTGGAAATATTTGTATTTCCAAATAAGAGGCATAGGATTTTATTTATTTTTTACATCTCATTCAGTTATAATTATTGCTAATCTCCACAGAATTCCTTGGTTCCAGTATCCAATAATTTATGATATTCGAGCCCGGCCCCGCAAAATTTCCTCACCAACAGGATCCAAAGGTAGGAACAGAGTTGCACAGAGTTTTTACTTCCTAAGAAGTCAGGATGATGTATGTAGATATTTCTCCATCTGTAATCTTTATAACAATGCTGCAATGAAGTTTATACTAAGAATGATGTCACAAAACCATTGAAATCTATAAGTGAGCATTGTGGAGTAAATAGGTTTTGTGTTTCCATAATTTTGAGTTTTGCATTCTATATCAGTTTTGATACCCTTCTGTTGGTACTTGGAAGAGCATACAGTTGTCTGGCCAGAATGTAAATTTAGGACTTCAAAACAACTGATTCAGTATGAGAATGGCAGCTGCATACAAAGAAAATCTATATAAAATGTTTTATAGATGGCATCTACCACCTGCAGGGTTAGCAAAAATGTTTAAAAACATGTCTAGCAATTGTTGGAAATGTAGGCAAAAGCCAGACACATACTACCACCTTTGGTGAACATGCCCCAAAGCAAAAGAAAATCTGGTCAAAAATACATATGTGGTTAGATAAAATGTTAAGAAAACATGTAGATCTTAAGCCGGAATCATTTCTCTTAGGTATAACCTCAGAACATTATGATAAAAATGTGTATATTTAATGTTACATGTATTAATAGCAGCGAGAATTACATTTGCACAGCACTGGAAAAATGAAGAAATACCAGTGGAAGAAGAGAAAATTTTAGAAAATTTTGGACTGTGTGGAAGTGAACAGGCTCACACTGAAAAGGAAAGGGAAAGAAGATACAGAATACTGTCAGACATGGGATATATTTTACCAATGGCTAGAAAAAAGGGGTAGAGAGCAGGAATGATATATTATTATGAATTATGATATATTATCAAGTTAAATTATGATATATTATCAAGTTAAATATGTGGACCCAGACAACACATTGTTTACTAAGCACTAAAGATTTGTAATTATAAAAAAAATAATAAAAATATGTTAAAAAAAGAAAAAACAACTGATTCAGGGTGGTGTAATTAGATATATAATCAGACTTGAGAAATAAAATAGAATGCACTTTAGAGATTGTGGTTGACTTGATTTTGACTCTAGATCTGCAGATGGTGAATATCTCCTTGCGTGTTCTATCAAGACCCAATGCTGTAGAATTGCCCAGCTTATATCAGCGACTTGGACTAGACTATGAAGAACGGGTTCTTCCTTCCATTGTCAATGAAGTACTCAAAAGTGTGGTAGCAAAGTTTAATGCGTCACAGCTCATTACCCAACGAGCTCAGGTTTGTCCTTTTCTGATACCAGACCTGTCTTCCTGCACTTAATCCTACTTTTCACAGATGTGTCCAGTACTTTACTGGTTGCAGATGATTTATGTATTAAGCAATTGTTTAGGGAACAAATGAGATCTTTTGCAAATTTCCTCTAGGCAAGAAATTGAGTGGGAAATATCCTGGCTTGGTAGCAGGTGTGCATAGGCAGGTAGTGCAATGTGGCTGCAAAAATAGCAAATGTAGTTTTAAGAGTATGTTTTATTCTGCCTTGCTCAGATCTTGCATCAACTATTAAGCCCAGGCTTTTTTTTACATTTTTTTATTCAAAACAAGATTCAAATACAAAATACAAAACTCAAAAAAAAAAAAAAAATTCCAAAAGGACAAAACATAAAAGAATCAAAGCATTAAAAAGGTGCCTCAATAAAAGACATTATACACATATTATCCCCTCTAGTTGAATACTGATTAATATATTACTACAGCATTAATTTCCACCCCTTGCGAAACAAGCCCTCCAAATTTTTTAAACTATTAAATCTATTTGCAACTTGTGGACCTGTGTTCTATATGTTATATTAATGACCAAGTAGTTAATGGAAAAAATAATATTAGTGAAACAAAACAAAATTAAAGTTTCAAAACTCTCTGTTAACAGGCTGCTATTGTAATCCACTCGTAGAGAATTTTAACACAGCATCTTGTCTATCCCAAATCATCCCAGAAGTTATAAACAAATTGTCCTGGGTCAAATATTCATGTTTGTTTCTTAATATCATCTCTAGTCAATTGTTATTTAGTTAAATATAGTAAATTCAGTCTCCAAAATAGGTCTATCTTCCGATCAAAGCGCAAGCAGAAGTAATTGCCAATTAACTGTAATAAATCCATCCAGTCTCCCTCAGACTTCCTTGTAGTCAAAGCTATAAAGTTGAATGTGAATGAATGTGCAGGCTTAAACTTCAGAACAGCAGGTGAAATTCACTTGGCTGGTTCTCCAGCCATGAAATTGTTTCTTTGATCTGGAACTGGATCAAAGTCCTTTTGTGTATAGTCATCCACATCCAAAGATAAAGCTTCAGATCTTAACATTCTTTTAACAATCATTAAAGTTTGATCAAGCTTTCGAGAGAAGAATCCAGCTAGGAGCTGCACATCTCCCCATCCTGCTTTCTTAGGTTTCAGAGACTGTTCAACCTTCTTAATCTGTGAAACTTAGCCAGGGAACAGAGAAGAAAAAAAGTACGTTTGCCTCTATATTTCAATCCAGATTTATAAGAAAAGTTCAATGGAAATAAACTCCAGGTCTTTTGCAAATTCAAAAAATACAGAAACCAGTGGTGAGAATCTGAGAACTCTTCATCCCTCCCACCCGAACCTCATGCTTTCCGTATGGAAGGGACAGAGGTTATCCAGAACAACATATATCAAAAGGAAAAAGAGAGAAAAAGCAATTAGAATCCAGCAAGAGGTTGAAATAAATCAACCCCCATTAATCAACTTTTAAAACAATGAAGTCAAAAAGTGAAAGTTAAAATTCTGATGTGCATAGAAAAGGAAAGGGCTTTACAGGAAGATGGATGCGCCCAATGACTTTTCAATCGCTTCCAGAGGGGATTGGAATCTTCAAGGCCCTCCTCCCCCTTGCCCACTGGGTCATGGTCCTCCAAAAGTTGTCTTGGGTCACTCCTAAGTGCTCCCATTCAAAACCAGGGAGAGCACTGCTAAAGACTCAGCTTTTGCAGTGAAATCAGCAGATCTTCGATAAGAAAAAAGAAACTCTTACCTTGCAGCAGCCATCTTGAAAAGGGCCCAGTATTAAGCCCAGTTCTTTAAGAATTATTATGGCCAATCTTTTTAGAAAAATGTATTCTACTTGAAGAAGAATGTAAGAATTTACAAAATAAGGTCAGGAAGAGGCAGTGAGAACTATTGGATAATTAGAAACAAATATTATGAAAAGAGACTGAAAGGATAAGGAATATTTAAAAGAAAACTGAAGGGGATTATGATGGCACCCAGTGCTTTTTTTGTAAAAAAAACAAAAACAAAAACCTGAACTCACACACATCATACAACCCGCCTTGCTTACCCTACAAGGTTCCATCCAAAAAAGGTGCCGGAACTCCGTTCTGGGCGTTCTATGACAAAAAAAGCCCTGATGGCACCTTTCAGATATCTGAAAAACTGACACGGGGGGGAAAAACACTTCAAAAGACAGAGTTCAGATATATGACTTTTAAGTTGATTTATTAAATTTAAATGTTGCCCATCCCACTATCCAAAGTTACAGGAAGGCATATTATGTTTAAATATCAAATGATAAGAGCAGTTTAACAGTAGAATCAATCAGACAGGTGATGGACTCATCTTGCTGGGATGTTTTGGACATTAGTGGATAGATTTTTGTACCAAAGGGATAGGTGCAAGGATTTAAATGGCCACTTCGGCAACATGATTCTATGACTTATGATTTTGTCACTTTTTCTGGGCAAAAGGAAATATCCTTGAGCAAGAACTGTGACTTTATTTTTTTAGGTATCTTTGCTTATCCGACGGGATCTGACAGAGCGAGCAAAGGATTTTAGCCTTATATTGGATGACGTAGCTATCACAGAGCTGAGTTTTAGCCGAGAATACACGGCAGCAGTTGAAGCCAAGCAAGTGGGTGAGTTGATGCTTAAATTAAAGGAAACTGTAACAGCTGGAGAAACCGAAAAAAGAAGATTTAAACTCATCCCTAGATGAGAGGCAGGTGGGCAGCTGCTCAACATATTGGTAACTTCCATTCTAAGCAATTCTCTCTCCTGTCCTAGGATCCAGAATAAGGGGTATGCAGTCCACCTTGGGGTTTCTGAGTGCACACAGGAGAGAACAGAAACACACAAAAGTATATTTATGTAGCATGTTATTTTTATATATAGGAACAGACACCACCTATGGTTACCGCTGGTAAAAAGATTGACAAGAACACTAGAAGGCACACTTTACATCATTTTCCAATGCCATTTTTTATTGCCTATTTTTCTGATGAAGGGCTGTGTATTCCATGATTCACATACATCTTATTGAAGCTTCAGATGAGAATCCTTTCTGCGAGCCTATGTGGTCATTTGAACGGTTTGCTTTTACTCTTGCCACAGTCTGCAGCACAAACTGCCTACCGTATTTTCCGGCGTATAAGACGACTTTCTAAACCCTGAAAATTTTCTCAAAAGTCGGGGGTCGTCTTATATGCCCAGTCGTCTTATACGCCGGAAAATACTTCTCAGCGCTTCCTCATCCGGGGCCTTTTCGGCGTTTACCTCTCGCCTCCGGTGGGAGTAGCTTGGGGGAGGCGGAGCTTGAAAGGAGGTGGGGCGGTAGGAGATGCTCATGGGGGATGCAGTGGCGGCTTATACTGAGCGTGCGACTGGCGGCTGCGGAGGTGGGCAGGCAGGCGGCGGCGCAAGGCGTTCCCTCTTTCCTCGCGCCCCACACGGTAGGGAGGAAGGAGGAGGAGGCTATGGGTCTGGAAGGGGAGGGGTGTCAGCTAAATTCCTCTCGGAATTTATCACAAGATGTCATTGATATTTTTATGATATCAGATGATGAACAGGATGATTTTGAAGGCTTTTAAAGGGAAAGTGTCATGCCAGCAAAACCTGTAAAAATAGCTTGCAGTTATGATGGGCGTTGCTGACTCGCCAGGGACTTGCCCGGCACTTGCTCTCTCTATTGTTTGTTATCTTCCTCCTATCATCATCAGTTCCAATTTGGTTGACAGCTTAGAAAACAAACAGCATGGCAGCTCCCATGGGTTTATTGTCTTATCCTTCCTTTCAGCTTTAGAGTGAATTAGGAAAAGTTTAATCCACTTGCACTGTTTTATGTTTACATGTTTGATGACAAACAGCCTTATGTTTATAAGTGACAGTTTTTCTGCTAAGTACCTGCATGTCATAAGCATTTGAATTAAAATTACCATATTGAAATAAAATCTGGACTTCCGGCTGTGACGTCATCGTGGAGCGGGTGAAGGAATAGATCTCTGTTCCTAAATCCCAGAAAATCTTCGCTAAGAGCCCAGAAAGGGCTTTGCCGATCCCGGAGAGATTGGTAAACTAAAGAGGAAGCTTCAGAGAAGCCGGGTGGAACGCAAACACCCGAGCAAACAGGAGCAGCACTTTTAAAATTGGCGGAGAAGAAGCCAGTCTTTAAGGCCGGCCTGGAGCGATGGCGACAGTCTGAGAGGGAAGCGAAAAGTAGAACTGACAGCTTCGTATGGGAGACGAGGAAAACCCCTGAAGGAGGTGAGGAACATTTGGCTGAGAGAAGGCGCAGAAAAAGCAGAGCAATAAGGAGAGAGACATAGCGGCAACTGAATTGGAATAGCGCGGAGAAGGGAGCGATAGAGCAGAAAAAGAACAGCGTGAAGAAACAGAGAGCCCACAGTAAAGTTTATAA